ACTCAAGCAGTAGATACTCAAGCAGTAGATACTCAAGCAGTAGATACTCAAGCAGTTGATACTCAAGCAGTAGATACTCAAGCGGTAGATACTCAAGCAGTAGATACTCAAGCAGTTGCCAGTCTCAAGTAGATACTCAAGCAGTAGATACTCAAGCAGTAGATACTCAAGCAGTTGATACTCAAGCAGTAGATACTCAAGCAGTAGATACTCAAGCAGTAGATACTCAAGCAGTTGATACTCAAGCAGTAGATACTCAAGCAAAGATATTCAGTATAGAGAGTTGGGAGTGTGGTTGGTGGAGTTAGGCTTAGATGGAGCCGGTGGCTGAGCGGACAGAACACTGGACGCGTGATCCTGTGGTCCCGGGTTCGATCCCGGGCGCCGGCGAGAAACAATGGGCAGAGTTTCTTTCACCCTGATGCTCCTGTTACCTAGCAGTAAATAAGTACCTGGGAGCTAGTCAGCTGTCACGGGCTGCTTCCTGGGGGTGGAGGCCTGGTCGAGGACCGGGCCGCGGGGACACTAAGCCCCAAAATCATCTCAAGATAACTTCATGATAGGTCTATATCTCTAGCAGTTTGTACTAGCTGCCGACGTAGTCTGGAACTAGTCGCATTTGTGTCACCAAAACTAATAGTGATTAAAACTACTAGTGTACTCTCCATTATTATAAGACCAACCACTTGGGCTGGACGGTAGAGCGACGGTCTCGCTTTATGCAGGTCAGCGTTCAATCCCCTACCGTCCAAGTGGTTTGGGCACCGTCCCAAGTCCTTATCCTCACCCCCTTCCAAGTGCAATATAGTCGTAATGGCTTGGCATTTTCTCTTGATACATCCCTTCCCTTTTTCATTATTATGTAAAAACACGAGAAAACATTCAAGAATTTAGAATTAACTCAAACACTAATAATCAAGAAATGTCTTCAAAAATGATGTATTACCAAAAATGTCAGCCATCCTGTGTGCTCTCCGTATATAGTGCACAGCACGTGACTCCAGTCTTTCACCTGCAACCCATTAGATGGGTGTCTATGGTAGGCAAATAAAAAAATCACATCGAAAGGCGAGTTTATTGGGCAGCGTCACTCATCCTGTGAGTGACGCTGCCCAATACGTCAACCGTCACTGATCCTGTGAGTGACGCTGCCCAATACGTCAACCGTCACTGATCCTGTGAGTGACGCTGCCCAATACGTCAACCGTCACTGATCCTGTGAGTGACGCTAACCAATACGTCATCCGTCACTCATCCTGTGAGTGACCATACAGCATATACAACAACCGCCCAATAGGAGGAAAACCGCTGGGTTGTTCATCCTGTCACTTACACCCAGACGCAACTGGGTTGTTTATCCTGTAACTTGTACTTAGACACAACTAGGACTTACTTAACTGTCTCATGTGAATGCCGTCAGACAAGAACATTACCATAACCCGCAAGCTTATATCAATTATCTTTCCGGGTCACATGGATGAATCTTTTAAGAATAATACATATTTGATAAATAGTATTTTCCCGTATGTAACTAGTTCACCGCTAATGAAAATTTCTATGCATAAAGAAACTGGAAAAATTATGTGAATGAGAAATCATTCAGCCGCCGCTCACTGGATGGATATGGGAGCTATAATACGCTAATTATACTAGCACTAAACAAGGTACCAAGGTTAGAGGTATCTGGGTGTTATAAACATTGACAGTACCAAGATTAGAGGTATCTGAGTGTTATAAACATTGACAGTACCAAGATTAGAGGTATCTGAGTGTTAAAAACATTGACAGTACCAAGATTAGAGGTATCTGAATGTTAAATAAGATAACAAAAGACACAATCTAAAAAGTAGAAGTTGGAAGCCAACCCTAATAAGATTTCGTCTTTCCCCTCCTTTCCCACTTTCTCGTTTTCTTCACTCCCTTCTTCCTCTCTTCCTCTTCTTCCCCTCTTATTCTTCTCCCCTCTTCCTCCTCGCCTTTGAACTTCCTCCCCTTTCCTGTCCTCCCCCTTGTTGCCTCCTTTTTTCGGTACATCGTCTACATTATAGGAAGGACTTGAGCGCTCGTCAAGTTGTAAAGCGTGTGCTCCTCTTCCAAGGACCAGCTGCTCTCTTCTAAGTTCTAATACTTATTCTCTTGTCAGCTTTCACGAGTGAAAATCTTGACGCACACACCCACAGCACAACTGTTCCTAAGTTACCTGCACAACCTACACTATCAACACAGGTGTTCAGTGTTCACCGCTCACAACACACTTCATTATTTATTCACCGCCACAACGCATGTTATCAACACAGGTGTCATAAATCACCGCCACAACGCATGTCGTCAACACAGGTGTTATAAATCACCGCCACAACACACGTCATCAACACAGGTGTCATAAATCACCGCCACAACATCCGTCATCAACACAGGTGTCATAAATCACCGCCACAACACCCGTCATCAACACAGGTGTCATAAATCACCGCCACAACACCCGTCATCAACACAGGTGTCATAAATCACCGCCACAACACCCGTCATCAACACAGGTGTTGGTGTCACCGCCACAACACCCGTCATCAACACAGGTGTTGGTGTGACCCGCAGGCAGCGTCACACAGGCTACAGTGACAGACCCAGACCGTCTCTGCTCTAAAGAACCAACCATTTGTCTGGGTGATCCAGAGGCTGGCACGATGGGAGGGTGTGAGAGATACTCGGAGAGTGATAAAGAGGAACAGGGAAGGAGAGTAATAAAGAGAAAGATGAAAGGAGAAGAATAATAAAGATAAAGTGGGAAGTAGAGTAATTTAGATGCAATATTTGTTGTTTTTTATATATGCAATTTATATGAAAAAAGAGAAATACTGAACGGATATGAATATCTCTTAATAACGCCTATACTCCTATATTTTTCCCTTCAACTTTATTATCTTCCTCAACATTTAATGTTCCTCTGCCCTTCTACCCTCCCCGTCCCCCTGGTCAACATCTATCTTTTGCTCTTTAAAAGATACAAGGTTAATTGTCACAGACTGTTGAGTTCCTCCAGCTCCTCAGGTGGCGGGCAGGAACCATGTATGCAGTGGGCGTTTCCCCTCTGCATCGCCACGCTGAGGCGCTGGAAGAAGAAGTCAGCGACTGTAGGGTATCTTGTTGTTTCAATTAGCCTAGATCCCAGATCCAGGCACCAAGCGTCACCGAGGCAACGGACACAAAATTGTAGTTGTGATCCAGATCTCTGTGTTTACGAGATGTGGATACTTCCCTGTGGGTGGCAGCACCACCCAGATATGCAACACTGAAGTCAACATATATATATATATATATATATATATATATATATATATATATATATATATATATATATATATATATATATATAGGGGTACCACCTATTATAGGGACCCATAGCCTCGGACAAGGGAATAAAGAGCATTCAGACAAAAACTTGCCGTTTGACTCTAAATACGTTCGAGTATTTGCTTGAGTATTATTGTACAAGGTTACACGGTTAAATAGCTGATTGGTTACAAAATGTGAACATTGGGAGGAAATTAACCAAAGAATCTTTCCCAGAAGCTGTAGATTTTTCAAACTCCTCCGACGCCAGGCAGGAACTGAGGATGCAGCGGGCAGTACTCCTCTAAATCGCCACACTGGGGCGCTGGAAAAGACAGATCGTGGCTCTAGGATCGCTTGTTGTTTCGATAAGCCTGGAACCGATATCCTTGAGAAACCTCATTGCACTCTCTCTCTTTTTGGACCATTGGGTCTCGGATCCTACTGGAACAAAGTTGTACTGGTGATCCCTGTACTTGGTTGATTTGTCTCTTTCTCTGTGTGTGGCTACAGCGCCTGCTTGACCGACAGAGAGGGTGATGTATGTGGCTACCAAGGTGGATACTCCAGTATTGTCCCACGCCAATTGTCTTCCATTTCTCCGTAGTGTGACAACAGACAGCGTCAAGGGTTTCTCATGCCAGGACCCTTTATCAGACTAAGGGGTAACCTCTACAGCTGCCATTATAATATAAAAGTGTGAAGTTTAATGTTGCTGCTCCCCAAAATTCTTATTTTGAGTATTTCACATTACTAAGCTCCTCTCACTGACGACCAGCCACACATTAGACAATCATATTTGTTTATTAGAGAGAGAGCAAGAGTCAGACAAACAGACAGACACAGAGACAGACAGTAGATAGATGAATGGATAGACAAATGCAGCGAAAGAGAGAAATATGAATTGATAGATGTATAGATTGATGGATAGATGGACAAAAGAATTGATAGACGGATAAATCGATAGACGGATATAGAGGTGTATACATAGATGAGTAGATGGATGGAAAGAAGGATGGATAGATCAATAGATAGATGAACAAACAGATGAGTAGGTGGATGGATACAGGAAGAGATAGATGGGTATAAGGATAGATATATGATAGATATATAGATTGAAAGATGAGTAGATGATGGCTACATGAATGGATATAAATGAATAGATAGATGGATATATTGGTGTATAAATGAATAGATAGATATAGGTAGTGAAAAGGGGGGAAAGGAGGAAACACCACCTCCATTTAAAACTTTGACCCAAATATCACAATAAAACTGTTATCGCGAATATCCCAACTCAATTACGGGCTCACTATAGCCCGTGCTACATGGACATTTCGTTCTGAGTAGCTAAATCTAAAACAACAACAACAACAACGGCACAGAGCGGAGTGACTACAATATGGAACTGCTGAGGATTAAGACTGCCAACGGAAGTCCCCTGCATGGGGAGCAAGCAATATATATATATATATATATATATCCAACCCCCCACCTTATACAATCCCTCACTCACCCTTCCCTCTCAACCATCCATCCCAACCCCCAGTGCACCCTCCCTCATCCATCCCACCTCCCTCCCTCCCTCCCTCCCTCCCCTCTCCCTTCCACTGCTGACAGGGGATTTATATTCTCTTTCGTGAAAAGTAATGTTCGCTGAGGCGCGTTATTTATACATGTTGCATGAGGCCAAGGTCCCTGGGAGGGTGTTGCTGTTCCCTAGGGTCCCTGGGAGGGTGTTGCTGTTCCCTAGGGTCCCTGGGAGTATGTTGCTGTTCCCTAGGGTCCATGGGAGGGTGTTGCTGTTCCCTAGGGTCCCTGGGAGGGTGTTGCTGTTCCCTAGGGTCCCTGGGAGGGTGTTGCTGTTCCCTAGGGTCCCTGGGAGTGTGTTGCTGTTCCCTAGGGTCCATGGGAGGGTGTTGCTGTTCCCTAGGGTCCCTGGGAGGGTGTTGCTGTTCCCTAGGGTCCCTGGGAGTGTGTTGCTGTTCCCTAGGGTCCCTGGGAGGGTGTTGCTGTTCCCTAGGGTCCCTGGGAGGGTGTTGCTGCTCCTCAGGGTCCCTGGGAGGGTGTTGCTGCTCCCCAGTGTCCCTGGGAGGGTGTTGCTGCTCCCTAGGGTCCCTGGGAGTGTGTTGCTGCTCCCCAGTGTCCCTGGGAGGGTGTTGCTGCTCCCTAGGGTCCCTGGGAGTGTGTTGCTGCTCCCCAGTGTCCCTGGGAGGGTGTTGCTGCTCCCTAGGGTCCCTGGGAGGGTGTTGCTGCTCCATGCGTTTTCTCTCTCCATCCCCGTCTCTCATTTTCCCTCCATCCTCCTCATCCTTCTGATTATCTTCCACTTCCTCCTATTCCTTTCCTGCCAATCCCTCCCCGCCATACACGTCATGCGTCTTACAACAATCAATACCTGTCAGGTGATTGTAGAGCTGTCCCTCTCCTGATTATTCCCCGCCCCGCCCAGCCGCTGGTCTTACACTCTTCCGCCTTCCTCTGTGCTCCCTCACGCCCGGAAGATGGATATACTCATCCATGTATGGCGGATATACCCATCCATGTATGGTGGATATACCTTTTCTGGGATGGCGGATACCTCTGATGCAGTATGACGAATGAATCTGCTGGAATGTTGTTGATAAACTGCAAGTATAACGCACATGCAGTAACCGTTGCAAAACGGCAGATATACTTGAAGTGTGATATATGATGGATATACCTTCACAAGTATGACGTGTGGTGATACTGCTGGAGAAATATGATGTGTTGTCGATATACTTTATCGGTACTGAGCACAGTAATCAATCTTGGGAGTAGTTTATGCTCGTTACTTTTGCCAGTTGAGTCGCCTCTCAGTATGTCAGGTCAATCATCACAGTAAAGAAGTGCCTTTGGTGTGGAAAGTGGCCCCCTCCATCTTGCCTCTCCAGACATGATCTCTCTTGCCTCTCACCATCAATTTCTGTCATTAGTATTAAGTAATTTTATGTGGATAGATTATGGAAATGGGGTCAGAGCCCATTATATTGTCTTTGGTTACAACTTCCCAGGCGGTCACGGGCAATGTTTAGGAATATATTTATGCATGAATGTTATATATATCTAACAGTAACTTTTATCGCTATTATTTCTGATACATTGTTATCAGAAATATTATATATATATATATATATATATATATATATATATATATATATATATATATATATATATATATATATATATATATATATATATATACATATATATACATATATATATATATGTACATATATATATATATATATATATATATATATATATATATATATATATATATATATATATATATAAATTTGGAAGGGAGTATCACCTGTGGCTGCAAGAAGGGGGACCCTTAGCCTCGGAGGAAACCACACATAACGTATTAGAGGGAATGTTTAGGTACCCTCCAATACAGTTTCTGTGTGCTTTTCTCCTACCACCTCCTTCCTTTTGTGTTTTGTTGTGCTTTATTATCTATTTAAATGTTACAAGATGTACATTAATTGCTACAATAAGTGCTTAAAGGTTACGGATCTCTTGAAGTTCCATCACTTCCGGACAGGAACCGAGGACGCAGCGGGCGTTCCCCCTCTGGATCGCCACACTGAGGAGCTGAAACAAGAAACTGGCAGCCCTTGGGGCTTTGGTGACGTCAATGAGCCTTGAGCCCAATTCCTTGAGAAATCCCAAGGCACTCCTACCCCAGGGGCCATGCGTCTCAGACGCTATGGGAACAAAGGTGTATTGACCTTCCAGTCGCCTGAATTTGACTGATTTTACTATTTCCCTGTGGTTGGCCGCCCCGCGTGCTTGATCAGCTCCGAAGTGTATATAAGGTATCAGCCAGGGTGGATACACATGTGTAGTCCCACACCAACTGTTTGCCCCTTTTCCAGTGGTATATTGTGATGCCATCAGGGCGAAGTGCGGGGTCATCCGGGTTTTGGTACTCTAGGATGCGAGGTTTTCTCTCCGCTGGGCACTGAGCTGAGACAAGGGTCCTCTTGATGATGTCATTGAGCTCGTAGTGTCTTGTATGACAGCTCTTTGTGCTTCCGCAATGCAACCCATGCAGTCCATATTGGTCTGTGTCCACCCTGTTGCAAATACACTGGTATTCAGTATGAACTGGGGCACCAAGGCGGAGGGCCACTGCTACACGAAGGGAATCTGGATCTAGACGCGTGCCCGTTGCCGACATGGGTACTGCCAGGAGGAAGTCTCCTGCATGTGGGGCATGCACACACTGCTCTGTATGTGTGTGAATATATATATATATATATATATATATATATATATATATATATATATATATATATATATATATATATATATATATATATGTCGTACCTAGTAGCCAGAACGCACTTCTCAGCCTACTATGCAAGGCCCAATTTGCCTAATAAGCCAAGTTTTCATGAATTAATACATTTTCTCTAATTTTTTTCTTATGAAATGATAAAGCTACCCATTTCATTATGTATGAGGTCAATTTTTTTTATTGGAGTTAAAATTAACGTAGATATATGACCGAACCTAATCAACCCTACCTAACCTAACCTAACCTAACCTATCTTTATAGGTTAGGTTAGGTTAGGTAGCCGAAAAAGTTAGGTTAGGTTAGGTTAGGTAGGTTAGGTAGTCGAAAAAACATTAATTCATGAAATCTTGGCTTATTAGGCAAATCGGGCCTTGCATAGTAGGCTGAGAAGTGCGTTCTGGCTTCTAGGTACGACACATATATATATATATATATATATATATATATATATATATATATATATATATATATATATATATATATATATATATATGTATATATAAATATATATATATATGCACAGACTTGCCTAATAACCGCAAGCTGAAGTTTATAACTTTTTAACACTCAACCCACCAGGAGACTCGAACTCTGGCCCACAGAGTGGCAGGTACACACTGTATCCACTGCACCATACTTCAAAGCATTATTCTGTTAAATACCCCAGAATTCCTACCTCTCTGTTATTGCTTGGAAGTATGGTGCAGTGGATACAGTGTGTACCTGCCACTCGGTGGGCCAGGGTTCGAGTCTCCTGGTGGGTTGAGTGTTAAAAAAAAAAAATATATATATATATATATATATATATATATATATATATATATATATATATATATATATATATATATATATATATATATATATATATATGTGTGTGTGTGTGTGTGTGTGTATTCACCTAGTTGTGCTTGTGGGGGTTGAGCTCTGCTCTTTCGGCCCGCCTCTCAACTGTCAATCAACTGTTTCTACTACTACTATTTTTTTCCTCGCACCCCACACACACCCCAAAAAGCAGTCTGTGACAGCTGACTAACTCCCAGGTACCTATTTACTGCTAGGTAACAGGGGCATAGGGTGAAAGATACTCTACACATCGTTTCTCGCCGGCGTCCCGGATCGAACACGGGACCACAGCATCACGTGACCATAGTGCTGTCCGCTCGGCCACCGGCTGACGGTGTGAAAAAGTGGTGGGAAAAGTGTGTGTGTGTGTGTGTGTGTGTGTGTGTGTGTGTGTGTGTGTGTGTGTGTGTGTGTGTGTGTGTGTGTGTGTGTGTGTGTGCGCGCGCGTTTGTGTGTGTGTGTGTGCGCGCGCGTTTGTGTGTGTGTGTATTTATTTACTCATACACACATGAGCAAATATAAATATTTCTATTCAGCTTCCAGGATTTCTTAAAGTCTTGCAAGTAACATAAGGTCGAACAATGACGTGACTGAGCTCGTTATATTCTGCTCTAAAAAACTAAATGTTCCGATAAGTTTGTGAGAGCGTAATCTAGTGTGAATATTTGATGTCTGGAAAATCGCAAGGACTCAGAGATGACCTGACCGTGTGAGGTGCACGTAATCACTTTTGACAGTGTCGTGGTAATAACTGGGACGCGAGCTTTATTAGCCGTCAGAATAAAGCAATATAGGACAAAATCACTGATTGTACAAATTTGTTATGCCTCTCGTTACAATACTTATATGAGGCTACAATCACTATTACTTTAAGAGTACCTTGATTCAATATATTATTGATGTGAGTCTCGTTGTGACTGGTGATATCTGCAAGGCGCAGGAGAGGCCACCACCAACACTTGTAATGAAGGCAATAAAGAAAGTAGAAATAGGTATAACAAAACAGTTATCAAGAATGTTATCGCTATATATCGTCCTTACTTTACAATATCCTCACTTCCCATCATCTACACTTTCCATCATTCTCACTTCCCATCATCCTCACTATCAACATCTCCCCATCATCCTCACTTCACAATCTTTAATCACCCCTTGTATAAACACAATCATTATCCCGCTACACTTATCCACTCCCCCTTTTTCCTCCCTCCTTTACACCCTTTTCCCCCCCTTCAATCCCCCCTCAATCATCTCCCCCCCCCCCCCCCCTCTGACCAGCTACCAGTGCTCTCACTCCGTCTATATTGATTGCTTTCATCAACAGAACACCTTACGGCACCAGCTACAATTGCTTCTCAGAACACATTTACAGTCAGTGGAAAGCATTTGTTTGTGGGAATATGAGTGTCTTGAGCCTCGACTCCATTTGACATTACGTTGAGCAACATTGTCTGGGTCGCCGTCACAGAACACCAATGACAAAATTCCAGGGAAGTTAAGACGATTCATAGTCTAAGAATTACAGCAGTATTATAGTCAAATACATTCAAACACACACATTCACACACGAGCGCACGCACGCACGCGCACACACACACACACACACACACACACACACACACACACACACACACACACACACACATAAACTAGGTGAGTACATAGGTGCCCATATCTTAAGAAGCACATCAACACACTGAAAAAGGTGCAAATACATGCTACTAAGTGGCTCCCAGAACTGAAGGGCAAGAGGTACGAGGAGAGGTTAGAGGCATTAAATATGCCAAAACTAGAACACAGAAGAAAAAGAGGTGATATGATCACTACATACAAAATAGTAACAGGAATTGATAAAATCAATAGGGAAGATTTCCTGAGACCTGGAACTTTAAGAACAAGAGGTCATAGATTTAAACTAGCTAAACACAGATGCCGAAGAAACATAAGAAAATTCACTTTCGCAGAGTGGTAGACGGTTGGAACAAGTTAGTTGAGAAGGTGGTGGAGGCCAAGACCGTCAGTAGTTTCAAAGCGTTATATGACTAAGAGTGCTGGGAAGACGGGACACCACGAGCGTAGCTCTCATCCTGTAACTACACTTAGGTAATTACACACACACACACACCCTGGGTGAGTTAGAACTTCATTCAGAAACCTAAGTGAGGAGACATTTAGGGCGCTTTACACTGCCTACGTGACACCAGTCTTAGAGTATGCCGCCCCATCATGGAGTCCCCAACTTTAGAAACACATAAGGAAACTGGAAAAGGTTCAGAAGTTTGCGACGAGGCTCGTCCCAGAGTTACGAGGGATGGGATATGAAGAGCGCCTGAAGGAACTGAACCTTACGACACTAGAAAAAGGAAGGGAGAGATGGGGATATGATAGGAACATATAAAATACTCAGGGGGAATTGACAAAGTGGAAATAGATGAAATGTTCACCTAGCAGTAAATAGGTACCTGGGAGTTAGGCAGCTGCTACGGGCTGCATACTGGGGATGTGTGTGTGTGTGTGTACTCACTTATTTGTGAGGGGGGGGGGGTGTTTTGGCTCTTTGTTATCCCTAGTAGCAGGGATGGCAGTCCAGCGAGGATTTTTTTTTTTTGGGGGGGGGGGGCAGTCCTCGCTGGACTGCAGGGGGTTCCAGTTAAGTTTGGCCAGTCACTGATTTGAAATTAATGAATTCTTAAGAGAAAATAATTTCCGAGATCTTAGAAGTTTGTTAAGAGTTCTTATGGGAGAAAATAAGTAAGAAAATCTTATAGAAAAATTCAAGGGCAAAGTTTGCTCTCATTTTTTTTTATTAATTCATGAGGTACATCTGCATTAGTGCAGCTACCCTATACTATATGACGTGGATTACAGTGTGTCAAACTTCATCTAGGGTAGCTGCACTAATGCAGACACATATATACCACATATAACACATATATACCTAATGTGTTAAAAAAAAAAAAAAAAAAAAGCTAACTAGGTGATGCTAAAAACTCCCCATCAGACAGGATGGTTAGTCATACAGTCTGAACTGGCAGACTCCGAAAGCATTTTGAGGATATCATCAAAACAAGAGTGAATGCTCTCATCTTACTGAGAATAAACTCTACGGACAATTTTAGCTTGTTTTCAAAATCGCGCATTTTTCAAAGACGATCATAAAAGTTTATTAAGAGTTCTTATGAGAAAAATAATTTCATAGAAGTTTGTTAAGAGTTCTTATGGGAGAAATTCAAAATATTTCAGAGTTCGTGTAATCATAGGAGTTTATTTACAAGTTTATGGCCAAAATTTGGAAAAAAAGACCATTTTCAAAGAATATTCGTCATAGAAGTTTTGTTAAGGAAAATAGACATCTTAGCCGTGACTTTTAGTTGTATAACCTTTTACGGCTGTTTACTTGTAAAGACCGAAATTCAACAGAGACCATTTAAGACCAAAAATAAAACGAGACCATTTGAGGACCGAAATTTACCTAAATGAGACAGAGATTATTTTAGACCCGAATATTGTCAGAGTCCAGTAAAAGATCTAAATTATTCAGAGTTAAGTAGAAATCCGAAAATAGTCAGAGACCATTTGTGTGTGTGTGTGTGTGTGTGTGTGTGTGTGTGTGTGTGTGTGTGTGTGTGTGTGTGTGTGTGTGTGTTAGAGAGAAATGTAAGGAAAAGATATGACAAAGGTCGGGAATCAGTACATTAAACAACCGACGATTAGAAAGGCGGGGTCAAACAGCTCGATTCTACAAGCACAAATAGTAAATACAAAATAGTAAATACACACACATAAGATAAACGACATGATCTGTGATGCAGTGTTTCCTGGAGAATAGCAGGTAATAAGTCAAGAAATGAAACGAAGAGAGGCAGGAAGAGTTGCACTCCTAGTGAGCAGAGATTGGAAGTTTGTGGAACTTTATGTTAATAAAAATGAATGCACAAACTACATCACTGGAACTATGACGACAGGTGGAAAAAGTTAGTGGCACTGGTAAATACATCCACCAGCAAACCTACACACGAATTTGACACAAGAAAAGCATGTACAGATAAACTGCAAAGGGCCACAATAGAAGTACACATACTAAGAGCAAGGGGGGAGGGCGGGTCACTGATGTTGCCGATATTTCTCTAAGGCAGGCAATGTGGCAGACGCCTACCCGCCATTGACAGTCACATACCACCCATGTGTCGTCTTGAAAAGTTGAGTGAAACTAGGAGCAAGTGTCTGGCCTCCTTCCTTGGACAAACAAACAAATATACAGACAGACATGGTCTTTTATGGACATAGAACTTTTATATTATGTATCTATTATATTATTATATCAATAATATATATATTATATTATATCATATTATAAATATATTATATTTATATTATATAATAAATTATATAATGTAATTCGTTATGTCCGGGGGCAGGCAGCCAGTGTATATGTATATGTTAGGCTTACATCGAGGTCCTCCCAGGGTCGAATTACTTACCCTCCCCAGGACGCAACCCGGCAATAAGCTTGACTAACTCCTGGGTACCTATAAACTGCCAGGTGAACAGATGCATTAGGTGATAAGGAAAGCGTCCAAGCATTTATGTCCCGCCCGGGATTCGAACCCGGAATTCCCGATTGCGAATCGAGAACGATCCCGGCTGTAATAATGGCTTAGCGCTCTCTCCTAATAAATACCTTACCATAACAGCCAGGTTGCTAACAAGCCGAATTTTTCTAAAATATAATATTAAAAAAAAAATCTTATGGAATGATTAAGCTTTATACGTATATGTATATATACAAGTACATATGTATGTATATAAATATGAATATGTATATGCATACATATACATATGTTTGGGTATATTTGTACAGATATTGTAGAATAATGTGTTGACGTTGCAATACAAAAGATAATGAAAATGTTTGGTATTTAGACTAGTGATAACATCTGCATTACCGCTTGAGAGCCGGGCAATGTTCCCGGTGTTTTGTAGTGAGGTGGGCCGAGGTGTGGGCCGAGGTGTGGGCCGAGGGTGGGCCGACGGGTGGGCCGAGGGGTGGGCCGAGGGGTGGGCCGAGGGGTGGGCCGAGGGGTGGGCCGACGGGTGGGCCGAGGTGTGGGCCGAGGGGTGGGCCGAGGGGTGGGCCGAGGGGTGGGCCGAGGTGTGGGCCGAGGTGTGGGCCGAGGGGTGGGCCGAGGGGTGGGCCGACGGTGGGCCGAGGGGTGGGCCGACTGGTGGGCATAGAGGTGGGCCTCAGGTGGGCCGACGGGTGGGCCGAGGGGTGGGCAGAGAGGTGGGCCTCAGGTGGGCCGAGGGGTGGGCCGAGGGGAGGGCCGAGGGTGGGCCGAGGGGAGGGCCGAGAGGTGGGCTGAGGGGTGGGCCGAGAGGTGGGCTGAGGGGTGGGCTGACGGGTGGGCCGAGGGGTGGGCCGAGGGGTGGGCCGAGGGGTGGGCAGAGAGGTGGGCCGAGGGGAGGGCCGAGAGGTGGGCTGAGGGTGGGCCGAGAGGTGGGCTGAGGGGTGGGCTGACGGGTGGGCCGAGGGGTGGGCCGAGGGTGGGCAGAGAGGTGGGCCGAGGGGTAGGCCTAGAGGTGGGCTGAGGGGTGGGCCGAGAGGTGGGCTGAGGGGTGGGCCTCAGGGTGGGCCTCAGGGTGGGCCGAGGGGTGGGCCTCAGGGTGGGCCTCAGGGTGGGCCTCAGGGTGGGCCGAGGGGTTGCGTTATCAAATATTCATCAGCCACAAGGAACACGCGACGCTCTGGGAAGCTTCATAAGGCTTTATTCCTTATGTATGAAGAGTTTAGTGAGCCAGTCGTTTATTCTCAAGTTAGTAATTTAGCGTCGTTTGTCAGTCGCGTGTTATTATAACGGGGCGTTTCTTCAGGTCATGGTGGGGTGGTTGTGTCTTATTAACCAGGGAATAACAATATGGAGTCGTAATGAGAGTACATACTGGCCTTCAAATTGGTCTCAGAAAACTCCTGAACATTAGATTACTCTTTACGTCTGTCTCTGTCTCTCGCTGTTTCTATGTGTCTGTCTGTCTCTGTCAAGTGCTCTCCGGTGATTCTGTTCACGATCATCAGAAGTGAGTATATGAGTACAGAGTATTCATGTATAGGAGCGAGCACCTGACCCGGTGTAAGTGAGGCAATAACAGGGGCCAGATTCACGAAAGCACTTACGCAAGCACTTACGAACGTGTACATCTTTCCTCAATCTTTGACGGCTTTGGTTACATTTATTAAACAGTTTACAAGCATGAAAACTTTCCATTCAACTGTTGTTATTGTTATAAACAGCCTCCTGGTGCTTCGGAGCTCATTAACAGTTTAATAATTGGAAACAAAGCCGCTAAAGATTGAGAAAAGATGCACAGGTTCGTAAGTGCTTGCGTAAATGCTTTTGTGAATCTGGCCCCTGGGTATTACGGGTATTACTAATCCAACAACGTTCATACACAAGTCACTTCACAACATGTTAATAATAATATTGTCAAGGGTGAGTATTCCTTGACTTATATTTATGCTGCATCTGTCAGCAAACTGTTTAATAGGTGACAGATTGTTACGTAACACAATCAACGAAGTGTTGCCACAATCACTCAGATTGGATAAATCATTTAACTGCCAAATCATGACATTTGACAGCTGTAGGGTTCTGTAATATTTGTGCTGCAGACAATGTCACAATATCTCGCCTGAACATTACACTCCCAACCCACAAGTCTGAAAATAAAATAAATGACGAGGTACCAGTCCGTCCTGGACCGTTGCTCAAGTCGCTGTAATATTTGTGTGGTCTTAAGTGGGCATTAAGTGCCTCCCCAACTTGGCCAAAGTTAAAGGCATGGTAACCTTAACGTGGCGTACTGTTGATAACATTACATATATAAAAAGAGGCATTACAAAAACGCAGTTCTCTCCTTCCTATGTTATGCGAACTCTGAGTCTCATAAGTTCTGAGCTCTTTGAAGCTGAAACATAAAATATTTATAGGATCGACAACACTTTATGCTCAACTAATAGCAATTTCTTATGTGACTGTATTTTCAGTGCTAAAAAATAATTTTACAATAATATCAACAATATTGATTAGCAAATTCAGCAAGTATTTTGCGCTGTTCTGTATTTCGTAAATAATAAAGTTACCATACCAAGGCAACAAATATTTATTGTAAAGGTGGTATTCACCCTCGACACGCAATCTAAAATAAACTCTTGCAAACAGCTCCAAAAAAAGGATATAATTGTAATCTACAACACACCATAAAGAGGTTGTAGCTACTTTTGCTTCCAGTAAACTGGCTCCAATGTTAGAGATATCTGACACTCTGGCATTCTCCAGCGCTCACTGCAGATTTCCCCAACACTTCAGATTACAAAATGCCCACCATTCACGTTGATATATTATCACCATTATTTTCTATAAATGGCAGTCAGAACGTACAGAAACAATTATTCTCATTTTGCAGTATGAAGATAAACTCATTATGCTATATAAATCCTTGTAAAGTTAGGTATATTCTCATGTTAGTGTTTATCGTATACTCGCTTATACTCTATAATTGTTCACACATTGCATTTTGTGCAGGGGAGTCCGTCATTGACACAACTCTCACTGTGGTACATGCACGCCCGCACATTGCTGCTTGCACATGTGTATTTACTATTTGTGCCTGCAGAATTGACCTATTAGCTCTTGGACCCCGCCTTTCTTACCAATCTACCTTTTCATATCTACTGCCTATATTTCTCTCTAACACACAAACCCACACGTGTGTGTGTGTGTGTGTCTGTGTGTACTCACTTATTTGTGCCTGCAGGATCGAGCATTGACTCTTGGATCCCACCTTTCCAGCCATCGGTTGTATACAGCAATGACTCCTGTCCCATTTCCCTATCATAACTAATTGTAAAATTATGAATAGAGTTTGCTTTCACAACCTGTTCCTTAAGTGCATTCCATTTTTCCACTACTCTCACACTAAAAGAAAACATCCTAACATCTCTGTGACTCATCTGAGTTTCCAGTTTCCACCCATGTCCCCTTGTTCTATTACTATTCCGTG